ATTCCATCTCGTTCGGAGGAGGGGGGGGGGTGGCGGTAGAAGAGATGCATGGAAGAAACTGCTTTGATGTCATGCTACTAGATTTACACACGTAGAAGCTTGTTCTCTTCTTAAAAGTCAAGTGTGGGTCTAGAAGGGTATAATTTGCCTACAACAAATCTGCTTTTAAATAAAATTGGAAGCCGAACACTAATATTTTTATTGTGTCCGATTTAAACCCTTACTAGTGGAATAGCTGCTAGAATGCTTCTGACATTGCATAATAAAACGCCTTCTCACCCTATATTTATATATTTACAAACGTCAAACATTATATAAGCCCTACAGGTAAAAATCAAACAGCATTTGAGAGTATTAAAAGGTAAAATAAACGCCATGTAACGTGTATATTAAAACGCAACATCACACAAAATATACATTATCTACAAATATAAAAAAAAACCAGTGTATCATTTGATTTGTTAAAACATTTATATTTACATCGTTGGCATTCAATATACAGGACTGCAATACAAAATAAAATAAAATTTTCCAAGCCATCTTGTCTCCATCAGTGAATAAAACAAATAGTTTGCGATCGACACCAGTGTAGATTGCATATTTGTAATCACAAAACTCATAACATGTACATAGGTAACATCTAGACAGTCTTCCGGCATTTATATTCATTGATACATAACTCATCAATTTCATTTAGATTTTTAAGTCTATATTCTATCACTCATAGTCAACTAGAGTCTTATACACACATACCTTACACACCACTGTCATCTACAACCTTACACACCACTGTCATCTACAACCTTACACTACACACCACTGTCATCTACAACAACACACCACTGTCATCAACAACAACACACCACTGTCATCAACAACAACACACCACTGTCATCTACAACCTTACACTACACACCACTGTCATCTACAACAACACACCACTGTCATCTACAACAACACACCACTATCATCTACAACCTTACACTACACACCACTATCATCTACAACAACACACCACTGTCATCTACAACCTTACACACCACTGTCATCTACAACCTTACACTACACACCACTATCATCTACAACCTTACACTACACACCACTATCATATACAACAACACACCACTGTAATCTACAACCTTACACTACACACCACTGTCATCTACAACCTTACACTACACACCACTATCATATACATCAACACATTACTGTCATCTACAACAACACACCACCGTTATGTACTTCAGTCACCACTCAGTAAATGTAATCCAACTATAACTCAAGACGTATATGTGTTCATGCAGCATGAAGTAACTTGCGCTACCTTAAACAGCATGAAGTAACTTGCGCTACTTTTTTTTATAATAATCGTTAATGGTGTTGTAGGGATATCATTTCAGTCATCCATTATCTACTAACTAGAACCATGAAGAATATACAAATTATTAAGCACTTATTGTTTTGCCACAGGGCCTATCTTTAATTTTAACGCAAATTTAGCAACTCCAAAATCGTTACATAAGTGGCTTGTCTAGTTGAATTGTGCACACTCAGATTGCTCAAATAATACAAAGAAAACATTAAACCAAAAACAAAAAACACTCAAACCAACGCAAAGAGTTTCACTTTGATTTCCTAAATAATAATAATGAAATGCTGGATATGAGTATAGTATAGTAATTTTATAAACAGGTTTTTAATGGAAGTCTTGATAATCATATATTGTTGTCATTACACGAAGAATATTAATCTAGATCTCTGGCCAGCTTGTTGTACTAATGTTGACATAGATCTGGCCAGCTTGTTGTACCAATGTTGACATAGATCTCTGGCCAGCTTGTTGTACCAATGTTGACATAGATCTCTGGCCAGCTTGTTGTACCAATGTAGACGTAGATATCTGGCCAGCTTGTTGTACCAATGTTGACATAGAACTGGCCAGCTTGTTGTACCAATGTTGACATAGATCTGGACAGCTTGTTGTACCAATGTTGACATAGATCTGGCCAGCTTGTTGTACCAATGTTGACATAGATCTGGCCAGCTTGTTGTACCAATGTTGCCGTAGATCTCTGGCCAGCTTGCTGTACCAATGTTGACATAGATCTGGCCAGCTTGTTGTACCAATATTGACATAGATCTCTGGCCAGCTCGTTGTACCAATGTTGACATAGATTTCTGGCCAGCTTGTTGTACCAATGTTGACATAGATCTCTGGCCAGCTTGTTGTACCAATATTGACATAGATCTCTGGCCATCTTGTTGTACCAATGTTGACATAGATCTCTAGCCAGCTTGTTGTACCAATGTTGACATAGATCTGGCCAGCTTGTTGTACCAATGTTGACATAGATCTCTGGGCAGCTTGTTGTACCAATGTTGACATAGATCTGGCCAGCTTGTTGTACCAATGTTGACATAGATCTCTGGCCAGCTAGTTGTACCAACGTTGACATAGATCTGGCCAGCTTGTTGTACCAATGTTGACATAGATCTGGCCAGCTTGTTGTACTAATATTGACATAGATCTCTGGCCAGCTTGTTGTACCAATGTTGACATAGATCTCTGGCCAGCTTGTTGTACCAATGTTGACATAGATCTGGCCAGCTTGTGGTACCAATGTTGACATAGATCTGGCCAGCTTGTTGTACCAATGTTGACATAGATCTCTGGCCAGCTTGTTGTACCAATGTTGACATAGATATCTGGCCAGCTTGTTGTACCAATGTTGACAAAGTACTGGCCAGCTTGTTGTACCAATGTTGACATAGATCTCTAGCCAGCTTGTTTTACCAATGTTGACATAGATCTGGCCAGCTTGTTGTACCAATGTTGACATAGATCTCTGGCCAGCTTGTTGTACCAATGTTGACATAGATCTCTGGCCAGCTTGTTGTACCAATGTTGACATAGATATCTGGCCAGCTTGTTGTACCAATGTTGACATAGATCTCTGGCCAGCTTGTTGTACCAATGTTGACATAGATATCTGGCCAGCTTGTTGTACCAATGTTGACATAGATCTGGCCAGCTTGTTGTACCAATGTTGACATAGATATCTGGCCAGCTTGTTGTACCAATGTTGACATAGATCTCTGGCCAGCTTGTTGTACCAATGTTGACATAGATCTGGCCAGCTTGTTGTACCAATGTTGACATAGATATCTGGCCAGCTTGTTGTACCAATGTTGACATAGATATCTGGCCAGCTTGTTGTACCAATGTTGACATAGATCTCTGGCCAGCTTGTTGTACCAATGTTGACATAGATCTCTAGCCAGCTTGTTGTACCAATGTTGACATAGATCTGGCCAGCTTGTTGTACCAATGTTGACATAGATCTGGCCAGCTTGTTGTACCAATGTTGACATAGATCTGGCCAGCTTGTTGTACCAATGTTGACATAGATCTCTGGCCAGCTTGTTTTACCAATGTTGACATAGAACTGGCCAGCTTGTGGTACTAATGTTGACATAGATCTGGCCAGCTTGTGGTACCAATGTTGACATAGATCTGGCCAGCTTGTTGTACCAATGTTGACATAGATCTCTGGCCAGCTTGTTGTACCAATGTTGACATAGATCTCTGGCCAGCTTGTTGTACCAATGTTGACATAGATCTGGCCAGCTTGTTGACCCAATGTTGACATAGATCTCTGGCCAGCTTGTTGTACCAATGTTGACATAGATCTGGCCAGCTTGTTGTACCAATGTTGACATAGATCTCTGGCCAGCTTGTTGTACCAATGTTGACATAGATCTCTGGCCAGCTTTTTGAACCAATGTTGACATAGATCTCTGGCCAGCTTGTTGTACCAATGTTGACATAGATATCTGGCCAGCTTGTTGTACCAATGTTGACATAGATCTCTGGCCAGCTTGTTGTACCAATGTTGACATAGATCTCTAGCCAGCTTGTTGTACCAATGTTGACATAGATCTGGCCAGCTTGTTGTACCAATGTTGACATAGATCTGGCCAGCTTGTTGTACCAATGTTGACATAGATCTGGCCAGCTTGTTGTACCAATGTTGACATAGATCTCTGACCAGCTTGTTGTACCAATGTTGACATAGATCTCTGGCCAGCTTGTTGTACCAATGTTGACATAGATCTCTAGCCAGCTTGTTGTACCAATGTTGACATAGATATCTGGCCAGCTTGTTGTACCAATGTTGACATAGATCTGGCCAGCTTGTTGTACCAATGTTGACATAGATCTGGCCAGCTTGTTGTACCAATGTTGACATAGATCTGGCCAGCTTGTTGTACCAATCTTGACATAGATCTGGCCAGCTTGTTGTACCAATGTTGACATAGATCTGGCCAGCTTGTTGTACCAATGTTGACATAGATCTGGCCAGCTTGTTGTACCAATGTTGACATAGATCTCTGGACAGCTTGTTGTACCAATGTTGACATAGATCTCTGGACAGCTTGTTGTACCAATGTTGACATAGATCTCTGGCCAGCTTGTTGTACCAATGTTGACATAGATCTGGACAGCTTGTTGTACCAATGTTGACATAGATTTCTGGCCAGCTTGTTGTACCAATGTTGACATAGATTTCTGGCCAGCTTGTTGTACCAATGTTGACATAGATCTGGACAGCTTGTTGTACCAATGTTGACATAGATCTCTGGCCAGCTTGTTGTACCAATGTTGACATAGATCTCTGACCAGCTTGTTTTACCAATGTTGACATAGAACTGGCCATCTTGTGGTACCAATGTTGACATAGATCTGGCCAGCTTGTTGTACCAATGTTGACATAGATCTCTGGACAGCTTGTTGTACCAATGTTGACATAGATCTCTGGACAGCTTGTTGTACCAATGTTGACATAGATCTCTGGCCAGCTTGTTGTACCAATGTTGACATAGATCTCTGGACAGCTTGTTGTACCAATGTTGACATAGATCTGGCCAGCTTGTTGTACCAATGTTGACATAGATCTCTGGCCAGCTTGTTGTACCAATGTTGACATAGATATCTGGCCAGCTTGTTGTACCAATGTTGACATAGATCTCTGGCCAGCTAGTGGTACCAATGTTGACATTGCATCTTATTATCTGGGAGAAAAACTGTTTAAACCTCCGTAGACACGTGATAGTCGTCCAGATTAATAACAATTCTTCTGCCTCCATTTATGTTCGGTGTTGAGTGCGAAGATTCTACAGTAGTCTCTGCGAGGGTCAGTTCGTCCTTCTGTGCTGCTTCTGTCATGGCGGACAATTTGACCTGTAGATTAGAGAACAGAGGCAAATAGTCTCTCTCTCTCTCTGTTTCTCTCTCTCTCTCTCTCTCTCTCTCTCTATATATATATATATATATATATATATATATATATATATATATATATATATATATTTATATATATATATAGATACATAATGTTAACAAACAGATAGATTGTACTAACAGTTAAACACGAAGTGCTACCAATGCTACCAAACAGTTAGACAATGCTACCAAACAGTTACACAATGCTACCTCACAGATAGATAATGCTACCTCACAGATAGAATCTGTACAATATGTCTAAATTTAATATAGGACGAATCTGTACAATATGTCTAAATTTAATATAGGACGAATCTGTGCAATATGTCTATATTTAATATAGGACGAATCTCTGGAACATGTATTTTTAATATAGGACGAATCTGTGCAATATGTCTATATTTAATATAGGGCGAATCTGTGCAACATGTCTGTCTTGAAATAGCTAATCTCAGCAACAATGTTACGTTGAATGTGTTACAATTCAAGATAAAAGACTGGGAGTTGGAGTAAAAGTGTTATTCTAACAAAGACATCTAACGTACCTGTAAATGACGGTTTCCTAGCTTCATATTTCTTTGTTTTAACAATTCCAGCTGAGTGTAGAGTCGACGAAATTCTTCCTGGAATATATTCAAAGATATTTAATTCTATACAGGATATGTTTTTTGTTAAGGTCTATAGTTACCTGACTTTGTACTGTGGTAACTCGAGTGGCCTAAGTAACCTGACTTTGTACTGTGGTAACTCGAGTGGCCCAAGTAACCTGACTTTGTACTCTGGTAACTCGAGTGGCCTAAGTAACCTGACTTTGTACTGTGGTAACTCGAGTGGCCCAAGTAACCTGACTTTGTACTGTGGTAACTCGAGTGGCCCAAGTAACCTGTCTTTGTACTCTGGTAACTCGAGTGGCCTAAGTAACCTGATTTTGTACTGTGGTAACTCGAGTGGCCCAAGTAACCTGACTTTGTACTGTGGTAACTCGAGTGGCCTAAGTAACCTGACTTTGTACTGTGGTAACTCGAGTGGCCCAAGTAACCTGACTTTGTACTGTGGTAACTCGAGTGGCCCAAGTAACCTGACTTTGTACTGTGGTAACTCGAGTGGCCCAAGTAACCTGACTTTGTACTCTGGTAACTCGAGTGGCCTAAGTAACCTGACTTTGTACTGTGGTAACTCGAGTGGCCCAAGTAACCTGACTTTGTACTGTGGTAACTCGAGTGGCCCAAGTAACCTGACTTTGTACTGTGGTAACTCGAGTGGCCCAAGTAACCTAATTTTGTACTGTGGTAACTCGAGTGGCCTAAGTAACCTGACTTTGTACTGTGGTAACTCGAGTGGCCCAAGTAACCTGACTTTGTACTGTGGTAACTCGAGTGGCCTAAGTAACCTGACTTTGTACTGTGGTAACTCGAGTGGCCCAAGTAACCTGACTTTGTACTGTGGTAACTCGAGTGGCCCAAGTAACCTGACTTTGTACTGTGGTAACTCGAGTGGCCCAAGTAACCTGACTTTGTACTGTGGTAACTCGAGTGGCCTAAGTAACCTGACTTTGTACTGTGGTAACTCGAGTGGCCCAAGTAACCTGACTTTGTACTGTGGTAACTCGAGTGGCCTAAGTAACCTGACTTTGTACTGTGGTAACTCGAGTGGCCCAAGTTACCTGACTTTGTACTGTGGTAACTCGAGTGGCCCAAGTAACCTGACTTTGTACTTTGGTAACTCGAGTGGCCTAAGTAACCTGACTTTGTACTGTGGTAACTCGAGTGGCCCAAGTAACCTGACTTTGTACTGTGGTAACTCGAGTGGCCCAAGTTACCTGACTTTGTACTGTGGTATCTCGAGTGGCCCAAGTTACCTGACTTTGTACTGTGGTAATTCGAGTGGCCCAAGTAACCTGACTTTGTACTGTGGTAACTCGAGTGGCCCAAGTAACCTGACTTTGTACTGTGGTAACTCGAGTGGCCCAAGTAACCTGACTTTGTACTGTGGTAACTCGAGTGGCCCAAGTAACCTGACTTTGTACTGTGGTAACTCGAGTGGCCCAAGTTACCTGACTTTGTACTGTGGTAACTCGAGTGGCCCAAGTAACCTGACTTTGTACTTTGGTAACTCGAGTGGCCTAAGTAACCTGACTTTGTACTGTGGTAACTCGAGTGGCCCAAGTAACCTGACTTTGTACTGTGGTAACTCGAGTGGCCCAAGTTACCTGACTTTGTACTGTGGTATCTCGAGTGGCCCAAGTTACCTGACTTTGTACTGTGGTAATTCGAGTGGCCCAAGTAACCTGACTTTGTACTGTGGTAACTCGAGTGGCCCAAGTAACCTGACTTTGTACTGTGGTAACTCGAGTGGCCCAAGTAACCTGACTTTGTACTGTGGTAACTCGAGTGGCCCAAGTATCCTGACCACATCTCTTCGCCCCCTCCTCCCCCCCCCCCCCCGGAGAAAAAAGTCTAAATAAAACACTGGTCATGTGGAAAAGATTAGACTCATGTTTAAATATCTTAAAACTTTGTCTAGTAATAATTAGTGAAAATGCTTTCGCTCGCTCGGTTAGGTTCAGTGAAAATGCATCCTTCTTTGCTTGATTTCATCTAAACCTATATCTCGATCAATACAGATGTGGCTTTAGGCAAATATTCCTGGAGACGGGTTTGAGCAATCAACTTCCAATCTTTTAGCTGTCCACTAGACAGCCTCATCTCCAAAAAACTTGACCTTCGTGCTTTTAGAATTGAACTTAACGTAGGTTTGAAATATTCGAGACGATAGTTGAGGTTTTAGCAGTGCTATGTTGTTTGGGCGTTAGAGAGGTGATGATAACAGCTCTATGATCTCTATATAAGCCTACACCAGACCAAGTTATAGATGTATGATCTCTATATAAGCCTACACCAGACCTAGTTATAGATGTATGATCTCTATATAAGCCTACACCAGACCTAGTTATAGATGTATGATCTCTATATAAGCCTACACCAGACCAAGTTATAGATGTATGATCTCGGCTACACCAGACCTAGTTATAGATGTATGATCTCTATATAAGCCTACACCAGACCTAGTTATAGATGTATGATCTCTATATAAGCCTACACCAGACCTAGTTATAGATGTATGATCTCGGCTACACCAGACCAAGTTATAGATGTATGATCTCGGCTACACCAGACCAAGTTATAGATGTATGATCTCGGCTACACCAGACCTAGTTATAAATGTATGATCTCTATATAAGGCTACACCAGACCAAGTTATAGATGTATGATCTCGGCTACACCAGACCAAGTTATAGATGTATGATCTCTATATAAGCCTACACCAGACCAAGTTATAGATGTATGATCTCGGCTACACCAGACCAAGTTATAGATGTATGATCTCTATATAAGCCTACACCAGACCAAGTTATAGATGTATGATCTCTATATAAGCCTACACCAGACCAAGTTATAGATGTATGATCTCTATATAAGCCTACACCAGACCAAGTTATAGATGTATGATCTCGGCTACACCAGACCAAGTTATAGATGTATGATCTCTATATAAGCCTACACCAGACCAAGTTATAGATGTATGATCTCTATATAAGGCTACACCAGACCAAGTTATAGATGTATGATCTCTATATAAGCCTACACCAGACCAAGTTATAGATGTATGATCTCGGCTACACCAGACCTAGTTATAAATGTATGATCTCTATAACAGGCTACACCAGACCTAGTTATAGATGTATGATCTCGGCTACACCAGACCTAGTTATAAATGTATGATCTCTATATCAGGCTACACCAGACCTAGTTATAGATGTATGATCTCGGCTACACCAGACCAAGTTATAGATGTATGATCTCGGCTACACCAGACCAAGTTATAGATGTATGATCTCTATATAAGGCTACACCAGACCAAGTTATAGATGTATGATCTCGGCTACACCAGACCAAGTTATAGATGTATGATCTCGGCTACACCAGACCAAGTTATAGATGTATGATCTCTATATAAGCCTACACCAGACCAAGTTATAGATGTATGATCTATATATAAGGCTACACCAGACCAAGTTATAGATGTATGATCTCGGCTACACCAGACCTAGTTATAAATGTATGATCTCTATATCAGGCTACACCAGACCTAGTTATAGATGTATGATCTCGGCTACACCAGACCTAGTTATAAATGTATGATCTCTATATCAGGCTACACCAGACCTAGTTATAGATGTATGATCTCGGCTACACCAGACCAAGTTATAGATGTATGATCTCGGCTACACCAGACCAAGTTATAGATGTATGATCTCTATATAAGCCTACACCAGACCTATTTATAGATGTATGATCTCGGCTACACCAGACCAAGTTATAGATGTATGATCTCGGCTACACCAGACCTAGTTATAGATGTATGATCTCGGCTACACCAGACCAAGTTATAGATGTATGATCTCTATATAAGGCTACACCAGACCTAGTTATAAATGTATGATCTCGGCTACACCAGACCAAGTTATAGATGTATGATCTCTATATAAGGCTACACCAGACCTAGTTATAGATGTATGATCTCGGCTACACCAGACCAAGTTATAGATGTATGATCTCTATATAAGGCTACACCAGACCTAGTTATAGATGTATGATCTCGGCTACACCAGACCAAGTTATAAATGTATGATCTCGGCTACACCAGACCAAGTTATAGATGTATGATTTCGGCTACACCAGACCAAGTTATAGATGTATGATCTCTATATAAGCCTACACTAGACCAAGTTATAGATGTATGATCTCTATATAAGGCTACACCAGACCAAGTTATAGATGTATGATCTCTATATAAGGCTACACCAGACCAAGTTATAGATGTATGATCTCTATATAAGGCTACACCAGACCAAGTTTTAGATGTATGATCTCGGCTACACCAGACCAAGTTATAGATGTATGATCTCTATATAAGCCTACACCAGACCAAGTTATAGATGTATGATCTCGGCTACAGCAGACCAAGTTATAGATGTATGATCTCTATATAAGCCTACAACAGACCAAGTTATAGATGTATGATCTCGGCTACACAAGACCAAGTTATAGATGTATGATCTCTATATAAGGCTACACCAGACCAAGTTATAGATGTATGATCTCGGCTACACCAGACCAAGTTATAGATGTATGATCTCTATATAAGCCTACAACAGACCAAGTTATAGATGTATGATCTCGGCTACACCAGACCAAGTTATAGATGTATGATCTCGGCTACACCAGACTGAGTTATAGATGTATGATCTCGGCTACACCAGACCAAGTTATAGATGTATGATCTCTATATAAGCCTACACCAGACCAAGTTATAGATGTATGATCTCGGCTACACCAGACCAAGTTATAGATGTATGATCTCTATATAAGCCTACACCAGACCAGGTTATATATGTATGATCTCGGCTACACCAGACCTAGTTATAGATGTATGATCTCGGCTACACCAGACCAAGTTATAGATGTATGATCTCTATATAAGCCTACACCAGACCAAGTTATAGATGTATGATCTCGGCTACACCAGACCAAGTTATAGATGTATGATCTCTATATAAGCC